GCCGCATCAAGCTGGGGCTCAAGAGCCTTGTTGGTAAGGGCACCCTAGTACAGACCAAGGGCACCGGTGCCTCCGGGTCGTTCAAGCTGAACAAAAAGCCGGGTGAGACGAAGGAGAAGGCAACCAAGAAAAAGCCAGCAGCCAAGCCTAAGAAGCCGGCAGCTAAGAAGCCTGCCAGTGCTGCCAAGAAGCCCAAGAAAGCGGCCGTGAAGAAGAGCCCTAAGAAAGCCAAGAAGCCGGCAGCTACTCCAGCCAAGAAAGCAGCAAAGAGCCCTAAAAAAGCTGCTAAGGCAGGCCGTCCCAAGAAAGCTGCGAAGAGCCCGGCCAAGGCAAAGGCGGTGAAGCCCACAGCAGCCAAGCCCAAGGCAGCCAAGCCCAAAGCAGCCAGGCAAAGAAGGCGGCTCCCAAAAAGAAGTAAAACTACTTGAGAATAAACGAGTCTATTAATTTAGATAAACCCAAAGGCTCTTTTAAGAGCCACCCACTTAGTCTCGAAAGAGCTGAAACACTGGTATTCGCAGTAGCAAAAGAACTTGCAGGAATTTATCCTGAAATAAGGAAGTTTTATGTTTAAGAACTTAAACGTTTGGTGCAGCCTCCATGGGCGACCCGGGCTTCCTTAGACAGGAAGTGTTTCCTTGCGTGCAATTCGGGAGCCCTGCGTATCGGCGGCGATTGCTCCGCCCCTTCAATTGACCGGCACCAAAACCGCCGAGAGCAGCGGCCCAGGGAGCGCCCCTGGGCTGCGGCACCTGCGGGTGTTTAAAAGTCCCGCGCTGGGCCGGGATTGGCCCCTTCCGCCCGCGCCTCCGTCCCGCCCTGTAGGCGGTGACACTCCCGCTTCCGAGGCTGCTTCCGGTGCCTGCCCCCGCTTGGTTACGTACGGCACCGCATCCCCCCTTCCCCCTTCTCACGGCTCTGTGGCTGGGTATGGCTTGGGGCGGGGGGAAGGAAACGTGCAAACCGTGCCCCGCACACCCTCTGAGGCCGAACTGGCGCGGTGGGGCAGGAAAAGTTGTGGGTGGCTTCAGTACTCCCAACCCCTGCCTACGTTGCACAGCACCGGCTGCCGTCAGCCTCACATCCGTAGCTTTTTTTTTCTCTTTACCAACTCCTCTGCAAGTTCGGGCATTGGTGTTTGAAACTTGAAAACCCTTGGTGAAGAGAAATCTTTCACTGTTACCTATTTCGAGATCACTGAAAAAAGCGAGTGTGTCTGTGTTAGGGGAGGGGGACACACTGGAACGTAAAACAAGCTATAAACAGAACTGGAAGACTTATTTCAGAAGCTGCTTTCAAAATATTTATTAGTCACTGAAAGAAGCAAAGTAAGATTTTTTTATTTTGCAGGTATAGTGCACAGAAAGCGAATTTTTAACAGATTTTTGCCACCGGACCCTATCAAATAAGAAAACTCAAAACCCTTAGGAAGACGATCTTACCTTCCCCCAGCCGGACTTCCGAGTTCTGAAAACAGAGAGCTAGCAAAACACTGCAATACAGTGGCTGCTGCTTTTGAGCCACAACAAAGTCCGAAGCCACGTACTCATTTTTAAGTTTTAAATAACCACACAAAACCCCATATGCGAACCGCAGGCTGTTAACAGAGATCCCTCTACGCTTTAGAAGCAACTTTTCAGCTAACCAAAGCAGCAAATAATAAACTTCCCATGCAAATGAACAAGCTCTCTACATACCTTCCAAGAGAAACACAGCAATTTAGCCCTTTCACTTGAAAACATTGGTGGCTCTTAAAAGAGCCTTTGGGTTAAAACTGGCGATCCGAGACGCTCTACTTGGAGCTGGTGTACTTGGTGACGGCCTTGGTGCCCTCGGAGACGGCGTGCTTTGCCAGCTCACCCGGCAGCAGCAGCCGCACGGCCGTCTGGATCTCCCGCGAGGTGATGGTGGAGCGCTTGTTGTAGTGCGCCAGGCGCGAGGCCTCGCCGGCGATGCGCTCGAAGATGTCGTTGACGAAGGAGTTCATGATGCCCATGGCCTTGGACGAGATGCCCGTGTCGGGGTGCACCTGCTTCAGCACCTTGTACACGTAGATGGAGTAGCTCTCCTTGCGGCTTTTCTTGCGCTTCTTGTCGCCCTTCTTCTGGGTCTTGGTCACCGCTTTCTTGGAGCCCTTCTTGGGCGCGGGGGCGGACTTGGCAGGCTCAGGCATGGCGGAGATATCCCGGCTTGCTGTGCAGTACCGGAATGCCCGATAGTACGATTGCTGCCTTATTTATAGAGCCCTTATGCAAATATCCGGCCTCAGCTATCATCGCTTCTACTGGATAACGGAGCCAGTGACGTTGCCACTTGTACGAGCACCTTAGTAATTGGTACTTTTCAAATCCCACGCCATTATTGGTTAATAATTCGAAGCCTATTAGCCAATCAGAAGCAGCTTTTTCAGTCGCACAGTTCCGTGCCGAAGCTCGGCCTCTGCTGCTTGGCCTCGCCCCGCCCCCGGGGTCACCCCTCAGCTTCTGGGCTCAGCGGCGCCTTGCAGTTGCCTCCTCCGGTGGATTTGTACGTATAAAGTGTCATTATTGGCAATTTCTCGAGGAAAAATAACAGAGAAGTTAAAAATTGCAAGCGGTTTTACTACTCTTTATTTTTTTTTCTTCAAGAACAAGTATACCTGTATACTTCATGTAACAGCCTGCATTTGTAACAGCCATGAGTTAAAAGTGAAAAAATGCAACCAGAAAAGACATATAGAGGCTCTGGAATATTAAGCATAGCTAATTGTTTTTGAAATTAATTCCTCTGGCTCACAGAACATGGCTTGTTTTTCAGGACTTTAAAATAGATGACTTCTGATTGAATTTGTAAATTGAAAGAATGTGGCCTTCTTTTAGGACATAATAAATATTGAATGAATTTGTTTACACCAAAAGGCAAGATATTCCTCGAAATAAAAATGAATTGTGCATTGAAAATAAAATTTTGAATTTACTGTGATTCAGAAATTCTGGCTGCTTTCTTGTTAAGTTGACTTAATTGTTTGAGGAAAAAAAGCTATTTTTTAAACACTCTAACATGATTTCATGGTACTAAGAATTCTGATATGGTTTTGTTCTTCTTTTGGGGTTTTTTTCTTTAATATATGATAAAGTGTTCTTTAGTATTACCCTGTATGCTTAGAAAAGAGGTAATTTTTTTAATACTCTTTGGCCACATTACAAATTACAGTTATAAATTCATTCATTGAGAGCACTGTGTTCCACTTTTAAAGGGATCAAGACAACTTGTGATGGAACGAAGCTGGAACTGCATAAGTTGGTATCATTACCCAGTGCTACAAAGATGTTATTTCCTTTTCGACACTGTAAGAGCCATTCAAGTCTAGAATTTCTTGGTATCAGAGGACATGGATGGTGTAAGTCTATACAAGAAACACATGTGGCATAGGTAAAAGTGGAGTAAAGTGGGTGAGATTGCTAAAATCAGAACAAAATTAAGTGCTCAAGGAGATTTGCAAGGGTAGTGGGAGAGATTGTGGTGCAAGTATTAAAAAGATCTGTCACATTACCAAGCTGTTTTTGTTTCTGTTTTTTGTTCCCTTTACTCTGATGGGTAGAATTCTAGATGCATCAAGATTTCCAGTCTACATCCAAAGTTGTGCTGTCTGAAGAAAGGGAATCAGGAAAGGAAAGGCTGGGACCTTTCTTCCTCCCAGTGAGTAAGGCTTGCTTGCAAGTGCTTCTGCTGTGCTTGACACCTAAACAGGGGAGACAAAACCAGCCACTCGTGTTGAGGAGAGTAGCTTCATGCTGCCTCAGTGATACAATGGCTCTCTGGTTCAATGTCCATCTCCCTCAGTCCTGCTCCCTTTCATCAGAAAGGGGGATGCGGGGGATGCTCATCCATCTCCATTTGCTCTGCCTCCCCCAAAGCTGCCTTTAGCAGCTCGATCAGCTTGGAGAAAATCTAATAAGGTAGGAAGGATCTTTGTCTGCATTTTGTAGAAAAAAAAAATAGTTCTCTCTTTTTTCAGCAAAGCAAGAAAAGAAGCCAAAGCAGCTTATATCTAGACATTTAACTCCTCACGTATGCGCTGTGAACCAAATGTCTTTCTTTTGGCATAAACATTACCCAGAAAAGCAGTTCACTGAGAACACCTCTGCTTGGTAATGGAAGTTCTCCCATAAACATCTGTGAAAGTCAGTGACTTGAGATGCTATTCCAGGAAAATGGGGCATAGGATCTCCAGTTTTATCTCCACAATAGCAGACAAAGGCTGTAGCTTTTGTCACAGTGCCCTGAAAGAGAAAATGTTGGATAACACAGGGAAATCTCAGCAATGTAAATCGAGAAAGCAGAGACATTAAAAAAAAATTAAAAACCCCAAATGCAAAAAACCAGCTTCTGCAACCTTCTCCCCTTGTTAATATTTTGAATCTATTGATCAATTCCAACAAAAATGATAGTTGATCTAGGTCTCAAAGATTCTCAGTTCTAACAAGGTTTGTAAAGATCAGCAAGAATAGAATGATTAGAGCCTCCTTTGAGGAAAGGTGGCTACTGTGAACTGAACACGTACTGCTTGATTTTAGCCTCCTACCTGAAACACCTGTTTAAACAAAAAATGAACACAAGCAAACAAACAAAAATAAGCAGCAGCTGAGTAAGAACTGAAGACTAGTCAGTCCCGATGTGGTATGGTTATGCAGGCTGTCCCTTCAAAGAGAGTGCTAAAGGCAAAATAACTATGGAGTGGAGTAAGGAGAGGGTTAGGAGATGATTATAAAAGGAGCTCAAGCTCTTGGAAAGAACTGAATGTGTTGGAAAGAACTAAATGTGGAAACTTTGTCAATAATGTCAGAAAAGCTGAGTTTATTGCACTGTTTAGATAGGCAGGGTACATGGAAAAGGAATCTAGGCATTCATATTTCAACAGTCTAAAAAATCCATGTACACTAAAGGACATGGATGGGAACTCATTAATGTCCAGTTAGCCATCATCCGTCCCACTTCAGTAACAATGGAGTTTCCAGTGACTGAACAAGGCTTTGGAGCATTCAAGAGAAATAATCCTTCAAAGTCAGGAAACTTAAGTCTGACAGGAGGGAATGGAGAAAAACCTTTAAAGACAGCTCAGGAAAAACTCGAGAATGACAGAGCTTGGAGGATTCACCAGCCTATTGCATGTTACTACACAGCATGAACTGCGAGACTCTTTTTTCCCCAGGTTGGTGTATCTGCTCCAGGTGAACATGTTGTGCTACAGGCTGACAGCTTTGTCCTGTTCAGGGAACTGCTTCAGCTGGAAGTTTCTAGGAGGCAATAAAGGCAACGCTGATGTTAGCGTTTTGCCACTACAGCTCCTAGGTGAGCTTTGCATAGAATTTTTTTAGAAAAATATTCTTTCCTATTCTGAAATCTCAAGTCAGAAATGTAATTCTTTTGTGTCTGTGTTTACTGTCTAACTAGGATTCAAGAAAAAAAAAGGAATTTATGCATAGTATTTTGGCTCTAATTATTTTACCTTCTGCAACCTCTTCAGCCAGAAATGCTGCAGTACCATTTACATGATGAGGAAAAGTCAGACACCCATGCATTATCTTGGGCTTACAACATACACTGTGCAAATGCCTAAAGCTCCTGAAAAACAAATCAACAGAAAACATTAACCAAAGTAAGTAAGCAGAGACATGAAAACAGACTTTTAAGAGCAATAGGATAAGTGATGGAGATTTAGATTGGTTTCTGAATATAATTTCATTTTAGTCAGGTGTATTTCCCTTTGTAAAATACAGAAAAAAGAACCAAAGAGAAGTACCAGGAAAAGCTGTAGAGCAACTAGACCATGAAAAGAAGACACTTAGCACATAGCATCAGGATTATTTACAAATATATTGATGATGAGGCACAGTTATTTAGTGGTTCTGCTTATTTTGGAGGATTTCTAAGATGCATGATAAACCTTATAATCAGATTTGAGAAGTCTGGTTTTAAGGTTATGAGTAGATTTTTTAGGTGTGGAGACTGAAATATTAAACATAGTTGTATTATACACTGCATAAATTGTCATATCTGCAGGTTTTCTAGCTTTGTAAATTGTTGAGTGTCACTGTAATCTTAAGAATTTATAACTACTTAGAGAAATAGTAAATATATGGGTCATATTTCAACAGCATAAAATACCTGTACTGAAAAAGCCACAAGATGAAAGGAAAGAATAGAGAGGGGAGAGGAAGTTGCTGTGCATTTTCTGAAATAAATGACATTTGAAAACTTGAGATTCTAAAGATGGCTAAGATGAGACAACAAATTTAAATGATGTTTTCGTCCCTCAGAGTGCAAATGTAGACTAGTTTATAAAAATGTTGCATTTTGTGTCCACAAAGTAAAACTATGTGAAGAAAAAAAAAAGCCCAACAAAATAAATACTTTGAGATATCAATAAAAACTAACACTATGATAATAAACAAGGAAACACTGCATTTTTAAAAACACCTAAAGCAATCTAAATCTTTCTTCATGGACACATTAAAAAGATATACAGCTGTGTGATCATGCAGTTAGTGACCGAGGAGAGTTTGACTGAGGAAAAAAAAAAAGCCAAACAACTAAAAAAGTATTAATAAAGTTACTCAGCAGTCGTTACAAAACAGTGAACTTCCACGGGCACAGAGACCATCAGGGCCGCCGGCGCCCGAGCCC